CATCTAACATTAAACATCACCTTCACTTGATAATTTTAAGTCACTCCTCAGAAAGCATCTTTTGTTTTTTTTTAATAATCTCTTTTTTGGAATTGTACCTTGAGCAATTACTGTTGAAATGGCACCAAACAAATTGATTGATTGATTGATTGATTGATTGATTGATTGATTGATTGAAAACACGGCTCTAGTTTATGTAAAGCATCTTATTTATAATTTGTCTTGTGAAAAGGATTGCTACGAAAATATAAAATATCTAAATAATATATACAAAACTGCAAAACAAAAAAATATATATATAAAAAAAGTGTTTCATTACATACTGTACAGGGTAATGTGACTGTACTCTCGATTAAGTGCTGCAGTGCTTAGCTGAAAAAAATCAGGTTTGGTGCAACGCTTATTCAATCATTTACTGTATTGTTTATTGCACTATTTTTAGGAGCACACACTGCACCTACCATACCAGACACAATTCCTTGGAGAATGCAAGTTAACGAGGCACGAGCAACAGATAATTTTCAAGGACAATCAGCACGCCAGCAGCGTCACTTCATCAAGCCACACCTGACCTCTCAGTTGGAAGCACCCGGTAAAACTTTACTCGTCCAAACGGGCCCAATGTCGGATCAGACTAAGAGTTAATTTGTGTCTGACATTTGATCAAATAAATTGTACATCTGTCAGAGTACGCTCAAAAGAGGTTCTGCAGAGTAAAGAAAGATGATGATGGAGCGGATGCCGGCTGTCAAAGAGCTTCTGTTCATTTTGTAGGAAGGGGCTATATAAATCATATCAATTATTAATCTAATTAGCCATTAACAATTAGAACTGAACAACTACTACAAAGATTTAGTTACACTATACATAGTAATATTCACAAACATACATATATATAGCAGGGCTTGTTATTAGAAAATGGCAATTAATTCGGGGAGGGAGAAATTTAAGCTAATAGTGTAATTATAGTTTTACACACATAATTACTACTACAGTCATAAAAGTAGTGTTAAAGTTCAAAGCAACACAGAATACCTCCTAGCAGACAGCACTGCCACAGTATTTGGGATTTTTACTAGATTTAAGCCAAGTGATTTTCAAAACCCAGGTGCTCTATATGTATGTATGAATTATATTGAATAAAAAATTAAAAAAAGAAAAAAAAAGGGTGCTGTATTTTTCACACAGCTGAAGGGTAGATAGTTTGATTTAGTCAACGTACCGTAGAATTCTATGGATATTTCATTCTTGACACTTGTGTTTCCCACATGAACCAGATGTCAATGGCTATGTTCTCACACGGCTGCTAATGGTTAGCAGGATCCGGATCCTGCTAACCGTTAGCTGCTGTGCGTCCATACGAGAAAATCCCGATACGGATACCAAAAATATGATTATCGAATCAATGGCCAATAAGAAACTGGAAATTGTAAACGCTTATGTGTGATTGGTTGATGATAAAAACGCGCTCAACTTGCTAACCGATAGCGCTTGCTAACCGTTAGCGGTATCCAGATACTGCTAACGGATTGGGCATTCTCACGCAGGTGCTAACGATTAGCGCTAACGGTTAGCTCCCTATCTGGATACTAGGACTCTCGTGAGAACCAGGCTTAAGTTTATCCGCTGCATGCTGTAAAACACAGATTTTAGTTAGATAATTTTGGTGATAATTACAGTAATTCAATGTGGTTTTTTTTTTTTCAATTCAAGAAGTGATTCAATTCCTAAGCCTACAGACAGGCCAGACTGTATAGTAAGGCCTGCGTGGGGAATATATAATCCGCGCAAAATCCAGCCTAGAAATCTGTCCGTGCATTTCGGAAAATAAGGGACAATTTCCGTGCATATTTTGCCAAAAATTAGGCTTTAACCTAATCTTAATATATGAAAAATGTATTAATGCACAGTATTTACTTTCTGCGCTCCTATTTTTCTAGCAATTTTCTACGCAAATTTGAGCTGGATTATGAGGTATCATCAGCTCAATAAAAAACTCTACAGTATGGCAGACAGGTCTCCAGTTAAATAAAGTAGAATCTAGATAGATAGATAGGCCTAGATGAAAAGCTTGATTTGATTGAGCACATAAAACTAAAAGTTTGCTATCTGTGTGGTTTCTCAGCTTCTGTAAAAACCAATCTACGTTTATTTACGTTCATTTTGATATAACAATAATATGTTAGATTTATATAGCGCTTAATGGCAACAAGGCCTCTAAGCGCTTCACACTACTACCCTACGTCATTGGATTAGACAAGCATGACGTATGTGTAACTGCGCCCTCAATTTTATTTTTCCGGTGAGTGCTTGTTTGAATTTCAATACTCAAAGCAGTCTAACCGTGATAAAGCCGGCTTTATTCAAGGAGTTAAGACTACCAGTTAAGACCGTTTTATAAGCAATCTGCCCAAGGACTAAAAGTGACTAAAACAAGAAATTGACATATAACATATTTATATTCTCAGTAACAAAGGTGTGTCACGTGTTGTGATGTCACCAGTGGTGTAGCTAGGGGTATAGAAATGGAGTGGGGGCTGATGGAAGGGGGCAGGGGAGAACTTACTCTCTTGCTGCATGCTGTCTTCTGTGATTGTGTTATCTTGATCTACAGCTGCTTCTAATCCTTTGAGAGCATCAGTGACATTTTGTACTTTGAACTCCTCCATGCCTTGCTGGGAATCCCCGACCTCCATGATGTTGATGTCTTCTTCCCCTTCCTCATTCTCTGAGCTACTAACCTCTTCAAAGATCTGTTTCCAGTCGTCGTTATCTAAAAAGGAATTATCTTGTTAAGTCCTGGTCACACTATCAGGTTTTATATGACAATTTTGCCATTAAAAATGCAAGATTATGTTAAAATGCAAGATGATGTTAAAATGCAAGATGATGGTAAAATGCAAGATGATGGTAAAATGCAAGATGTTATATCATAAGTGGTGGATCCAGGAATTTGAAACAGAGGGGGGCCAGGGGAGGACTTTAAAAAACAGAGGGTCAATACGATCTCATGTCTACCATGGTTGGGGCTGAGAGAACAAATTGTACCATTATGCTACCTCTAGATTGCTGGAAATGACACTCTCTGATTTAATATTTGAATATAATTTTCTATTGTTCTCCACGTTTTTTTTATAACCTACCATGGTTGGGGCTGACAGAACAAATTGTACCATTATGCTACCTCTAGATTGCTGGAAATGACACTCTCTGATTTAATATTTGAATATAATTTTCTATTGTTCTCCACGTTTTTTTTATAACCTTACAAAATTTAGAAGGGGGGGGGGAACAGGCTGGCTTGACCCTCCTCCCTTGAATTCACCACTGATAACAGACATAAATAGCAATAATATGCAACTCCTTGTTCTCTAAGGTCCCTACTAATATAGAACCAACATACCTATTTGTAATTCACTTTTTGTGTCCATCTTTATCAGGCAACACTTCCCATCCTTAAAAAAAGATAAGGATTGTAACCATGTATGGGGACGTAGCTAGCTAGCCAAAAAATAATACAAAGAAAAAATCTATATACATAGAACTGAACAAGAGAGAAATTTTTATGATCATAGTATCTGAGAATAGGATTTAAAAAAATTATTATTAAGGATTTTTTTTAAATATGACTGACAGTTAATATGACTGTCATGTTACGACATGACAAAACCAGCACCCTGACCACAAAAAAAAAATATTGAGTTGTTAATATATTCTTATTCTCCACATTGTAATCTTTAAAATGATGGGTCATACTAGAATCGACTTATATTGGCAAAGTTATGAGTAAAAGTATTATGGCTTTTTTGTACTAAAGTGGAGAGCAGTTTCGCTCAGTTGGCTAAACTTGTGGTAGCCACTGTGTGTGCACTGAGCCATAGATATCTTTTGGTCCCCTTTTCAATTCCCATCCCTGCTTTCCTTGTATTTCAGCTGGAGGGCTTGATGCAAGTTATGATAGCCCACCGTCTTTCTTTCAGATGAGACGTTCAAACCATTGGTCCTGTGTACATTATGGCCCACATTACGGAAAAGAGTAGGGAATTGTCTATGGGCTGCCATACGCAGCAAAAGTCCATGTTAAAATCAAAGTGTAATTGCAAAATGCAATGTCTAATTTATCAAAACGTAGGCGTAAATTTCTCAAAATGTAGATCTAGTTTCCCAAAAAGAAGTTATAATTTTTCAAAACATAGTTCAATTTTTCCAAAATGTAGTTCTAATTTCTTTAAAATGTAATTCAAATTCAATTTACGCTGGAGTCCAATAGTAGTGTGAAATCCAATTGCCCCAACCAGAATTTGCGTTGAGTCTTGTTTATGTTTGCATTTTTTGGCTTATTAAACCACACCGCAAACCAAACACAATTTCACGTTTCAACCGGGTGGAAACGATTGCAAACCTTTTTTAATTTTTTCACTTTAAATTTACAAATATGAATTTTCATTACCAATATTTTTGCATGCAAGAAGTTATCACTAGCATAGTTGACTCCCCTTCCCCTGGCATCTGTCAGTAAATTTATATTTAAGAATTGTGTTCTATTTTCACGGATTTTCGATAATTTACCTCTCTATTTGTAGATCCC